GGGAGAAGCAGGCTCTCCACTGAGCAGGGAGCTGGATGCAGGGCTCAATCCGAGGACTGTGGGATGATGGCATGAGCTGAAGGCAGACTCTTATCAACTAAGCCACCCAGACGCCCTAGACTTTGTTAAGTTTTAACCTACTTCCCAGTGTTTCTTAAAGGGAGCTCAACTGGCATTTTGGTGGGACCGTCTCATACATTGTAGGATGCTCATTGTATCTGGACCCTGAGCACTAAATTGCAGTAGCAAATTATAACCCCTCCTCGTTGTGACAGCCTACTGCGATCTCACCCATTTCCAAATAACCCCTTTGAGAATGATCCCTCCTAATGTTGGGAACCATTGGACCATATCTGCCTGTACTTTACTACCCACCTTATGCTCAAGTATTGCCATTTTATTTTTAAAACTTAGCAAACTTTTCAGGCCCTGTGTTGAGAAGCTCTTCCATCTTTTCGGCATGGCTTTGTCTCTTCTTGGTAAGCCTTTACTCACATGTAAGTCCTTAAAGAACTGAATTCAACTCTTTCAGACTCCCTCCTTTAGAGTCTTCTCTGATTTTCCCAGGAAATAATTTGACATTCCTTCCTGTGAGGATATATACACACAGCAAATGGTTAAGATATTGTAGGTGCCAAGTGAACGTAATGAAAGCTTGTGGAAATAAGACAGTGCATTAATCTAGTTGTTAATGAAGACTTTGTAAGAAGAAAAGGGGAATGTCTCTTTCATTAAGAAATGTCCAACTACTATTTTTTTTTAATGGCACTTGGTAGTATATTTTAAAAATGCATCACTATCATCTATTTTCAGAGGAGCACTGAATCTGTAGCTTCTGATACAGTGCTGATTTTTTCTGTATCTTCTTTTTTGGGGGGTATTTTATTTTAAAGAAATTTTGTATTAATTATTTTTATTAACATATAATGTATTATTTGCCCCAGTTGTACAGGTCTGTGAATCGTCAGGCTTACACACTTCACAGCACTCACCATTTCACCTACCCTCCCCAATGTCCATGACCCAAACACCCTCTCCACGCCTCCCCTCCCCCCAGCAGCCCTCAATTTGTGTTGTAAGATTAAGAGTCTCTTATGGTTTGTCTCCCTCCTGATCCCATCTTTTTTCATTTTTTCTTTCCCTACCCCCCAAAACCCCCACTCTGCCTCTCAAAGTCCTCATATCAGGGAGATCATATGATATTTGTCTTTCTCTGATTGACTTATTCCGCTCAGCATAATACCCTCTAGTTCCATCCACGTTGTCACAAATGGCAAGATTTCATTTCTTTTGATGGCTGCATAGTATTCTATTATATATATATATTTATTTATTTTCACACACATACACACACACACACACACCACTATATATATATACACACACACACACACACACACACACACACAGACACACTACATCTTCTTTATCCATTCATCTGTTGATGGACATCTAGGTTCTACTGTGGACGTTGCTGCTATAAACATTTGGGTGCACGTGCCCCTTTGGATCACTACGTTTGTATCTTTAGGGTAAATACCCAGTAGTGTGATTGCTGGGTCCTAGGGTAGCTCTATTTTCAATTTTTTGAGGAACCTCCATACTGTTTTCCAGAGTGGCTGCACAAGCTTGCATTCTCACCAACAGTGTAGGAGGGTTCCCCTTTCTCCGCATCCTCACCAACATCTGTTGTTTCCTGTCGTGCTCATTTTAGCCATTCTGACTGGTGGTGTGAGGTGGTTTCTCATTGTGGTTTTGATTTGTATTTCCCTGATGGTGAATGAATGTTGAGTGCTTTTTCATGTGTCTCTTGGCCATGTGGATGTCTTCTTTGCAGAAATGTCTGTTCGTGTCTTCTGCTCATTTTTTGACGTGATTATCTGATTTTGGGGTGTTGAGTTTGATAAGTTCTGTATAGATTTTGGATGCTAGCCCTTTATCTGATATGTCATTTGCGAATATTTTCTCCCATTCTGTCAGTTGTCTTTTGGCTTTGTTGACTGTTTTCTTTGCTGTGCAAAAGCTTTTGATCTTGATGAAGTCCCAACAGTTCATTTTTGCCCTTGCTTCCCTTGCCTTTGGCGCTGTTTCTAGGAAGAAGTTGCTGTGGCTGAGGTCAAAGAGGTTGCTACCTGTGTTCTCCTCAAGGGTTTTGATGGATTCCTGTCTCACATTGAGGTCTTTCATCCATTTTTAGTCTATTTTTGTGTGTGGTGTAAGGAAATGGTCCGGTTTCATTCTTCTGCATGTCACTGTCCAATTTTCCCAACACCATTTGTTGAAGAGACTGTCTTTTTTCCATTGGACATTCTTTCCTGCTTTGTTGAAGATTAGTTGACCATAGAGTTGAGGGTCTATTTCTGGGTTCTCTATTCCGTTCCATTGATCTGTGTGTCTCTTTGTGCCAGTACCATACTGTCTTGATGATGATATCTTTGTAATTGAGCTTAAAGTCTGGAATTGTGATGCCACCAACGTTGGCTTTCTTTTTCAACATTCTTCTGGCTATTCAGGGTCTTTACTGATTCCATACAAATTTTAGGATTATTTGTTTCAATATTTTGATAGGGATTGCATTAAACATGTAGATTGCTTTAGGTAGCACAGACATTTTCACAATATTTGTTCTTCCAGTCCATGAGCATGGAACATTTTTCCATTTCTTTGTGTCTTCCTCAATTTCTTTCATGAGTACTTCGTAGTTTTTTGAGTACAGATTCTTTGCCTCTTTGGTTAGGTTTATTCCTATGTATCTTATGGTTTTGGGTGTAATTGTATCTTCTTATTTGTTGAATAACTTTGGCCAGACTTGTACATGATCAGTTCCTGGTTCAGGCCTAATTAGCATACATGGAGATGGGAGTTAGCTCTTCAAGTCACATTTACTATTCAAAAGTAACGAGAGGGGTGCTGGGTGGCACAGCTGGTAAGGCGTCCAACTCTTGGTTTTGGCTCAGGTCCTGATCTCGGGGTCCTGGGATTGAGCCCCATGTCAGGCTCTGTGCTCAGCACAGAGTGCACTTCAGATTCTCTCTCTCTCCATTTGCCCCTCCTGCTCTTGCTGTCTCTCTCAAAAAATTAAATCTTAAAAAGACACCCAAAATGACAAGAGAGTTGGTGGATCAATTTAAATCATCAGAAGTGGTGGAACAGCTTCACTTATGTGCTTGCAGAGAAGTCTTGTTTTAGATAAAAGTATGATAATATTAAAAATAATTATACTCATGGGGCACCTGGGTGGCTCAGTGGGTTAAGCCTCTGCCTTCAGCTCAGGCCCTGATCCCAGGGTCCTGGGATCGAGCCCTGCATCAGGCTCTCTGCTCAGCAGGGAGCCCATTTCCTCCTCTCTCTGCCTGCCTCTCTGCCTACTTGTGATCTCTGTCTGTCAAATAAATAAAATCTTAAAAAAAAACAATTATACTCATATCAGAAAGATGAGATGTCACATAAATCTATTGTCTGGTTGGGGAAAGACCAATTGGTGAATAAGCTTGAAAGTTGAAGAAATGTACTATGGAGAGGTAGAGAGATATAAAATAAATTCACTTAAAATTTTTAATTTTTCTTTTACTGATTACAACTTTTATTTAATGTTTATAGTGTGCCTAACTTTGTTGTAGATGCTAAGACACAGGCTTGTAAATCAGAAATTCTCAGATATTTAGACATTCCTCTATTGACTTTTGGTGTTCTATGAAGGACATGGTAGAGGCTACCCAAATTTTTGTTCCTTTGTAGGTAAGCTCTTCTTTTCTGCCTGTATCTTTGTTTGTTTTTTTTGTTTTCTTTTTTAAATTAAGATATTCTACTAGGGTACTTCTAGGCATAGTTGTTGTTGTCATTGTTTTTTCCAATAGTTTTTTTCAGAAACAAAGTGAATCCTCTCAATTTAGAAGAGTAAATAACGTTTGATCCTTTTTTTTTTTTTCACCAGCTCAGGAATAATTTTTCAGTGGTATGTTTGCTTATTATTTCAGTTCAGAAATGGCAGTTATTTGTAGAATTGGATTTGTATTTTTTTTCCTCCCTATCAATCAATATGCTTTGTTTTCATCTTGGTCTTTTTTCTTTTGTGTTTGGAGCGCATCTCACATGTATATGCTAAAATACTAATTAGATTTTTTTCCAGCTTCTGTACTTCTATTGCCTCTCATATAGAATTTAAATCTTTACTATTATTATATATTTGAATTCCCTTCCAGTTTTTTCTTATCCAGTTTCTTTTTTACTCTCAGCTGTTGTTTCCCACCTCATCTCTTGCTTTTAGAGGCTGTGTTTTTCTTTTCCGTTTGTCTTTTTTAGTTGGGAATGTAAAGTAGATAATTTCCAAGTTTTTCTCCTGGTTTCCAGGGTAAGTCCACTACAGAAGCAAGCTTTCTCTCTTCCTCTATATGGCGGTGTTCATCTTTCTTATGGTTGAAGAGCATCGTCTTGGTCCCACACTGTTACTGATGTTTTTGATTTTCTTAAAAATTGACGGCAGAGGGACTTGGGTAGGGATGTTATTGTTTACTCTTGTCAGAGCGAGCAAGCCCTCTGCAGCCCTCTGCATCACTCTCACTACCTCTAGGTGCTGATGGACTCTTCATCTACATGTGAGGTAGGAGAGCGAGCCGTTGGAAAGATACAACCAGATTTCTGAATGATAAATCTTTCTGTACTCAGAAGAGGTCTTCCTTTGCTGTTGTTTAATTTTTCAGCCCTGTGTCTATAACAAGGGGGAGTGTTTCTGTGTGATTTGAAACAGTTTATAGTTTTTTGAGTTTTTGCAGGGAAAGTGGTAGTGGTGAGACTGTAATCCTCTGAGGGCTCATTCTATTTCCGCGCCTCCTGTTGCTGACTTCACAGAGTAGTATGCATTGCTCCTCTTGGCTTCACCTTCCACTTCTGGCCATGAACATTTTATTATTGAGAGAGAACTGCCTTGAAAGAGAATTAGCAATGGGCTTGGAAGCCAGTAATGGAGGGGTTACCTCAGGGTCTTTTTTTTTTTTTTTTTTTTTTGAAGGAAATGTAGAATGGAGTAGAGTGAGATGCCTTTTTAGGCTCTTCCTAACTGGACCTCCTGCTGCAGAGGCTGTAACAAGCATCCAGCTACCAATTAACATTTTTCAGTTCCAGTCCGGGTATAATATTGTATCCTGTTTAAACTTTATTTGGGATATATATTTCACTGGGAAGGCAAGGAGGGAGTGCTGAGCTTTCTAGTTAGTTGCTGCTGAGACTGAGCCAAACTTTCTCCCTTTTGCTGCTTCCCTGTGCTATTTATTGAATTACTGGGTCTATCCCTGCTGTGCCCCATCCAGGCTGTCAAATGCCTTGAAATCCAGGTCACTCACTAGCCCTATCAAAACAATCCATCTTTTGTCTCAATTTCCTAGCATGATCCTTCCTCAAAAGTATGCCATGCTAATTACAAATATTTGTTTGGGGGATTTCAGAATCAGGTAATCTCTTTGGCCTGGGCCTTAGATTCCACATTTGAATTTGTACCCTGGCTCCTTCTTTGCTCTCTGACATTTGAGGACCACTGCCCAAGGACCCCGTTAGGTAAGTGATTATCTAAACGAATTCAAGCCAAATTCTCATAAAGGGATTGGGTTCAGTTTATGTCCTTAGCTAGTAATTGCATGTTTTTGTTTGTTTTCTTAGGAAAGAGTCTAAATCTAAATTTATCATAATGTGGAATTGTTACAGGGAGGGGAGAAATGCAGAGGAAATTGCCTACTTTTATTAGTTAAAAATTGGCTTTAATATTTAGAGGTATTCATATTATATTCAGTGGTATGCACATTTTAAGTGATCATAAGTTCTGGGGAGATTTATATTTCTTTAAGTGTTTTAGTTTCACTGTGATTTTGATGTACATTGATTTATAGGTTCATCAAAGGAAATGTCTCTGACCAAAAATAAAATAAAATAGAATTAAATTAAATTAAGTAAACACAAAGAATCAGTTTCTCACACATTAGATTAAAAATTTATAAAGTGGAGAATGGTAGTGAAAAAAATTGTTTTTAACTAAAAAGGAGACTGAACAATGATTATACACAGTATTAGAATTTACTGGGGCTCTTTTCTGAAAACATAATTAGTAGCAGCAGAATAAGCTTTACACTGTCTAGTCTTAGGGCTAACCTCTAGTTTAGAAAGACTGCCTTCACTTGGTGGGAAGAAAAATTATTCTACCTTCCCAATCTTTAGCCTCTGCTGAAGCAGTTAAAAAAAGGTTTTGATTGTCTGAGCTAAAAAAAAAAAAAAAAAATCGAAAAGCTTTCCAGCAGGAGTAAGACTCAAGCAAAATAGATGCATTAACAACTTACATTTTATGTCATGAAAGAGCTCAAACTCATTTCTAACTTTTACTTATAATAAGAAATGAGAAGTTCATTGTTTAGGATGAGATGAGAATTGGAACTAGTTTTTCTATTGAAAGTTCACTTGTGTTCTGTTTTCATCTCTAGTCTGAATTTAAGATACCTTAAGTCTGGAAATGGAAACAGGTCTAAGGAGTTTTACATTTGCAAAATAAATTTTTGCAATTTTTGCTTAAACTGCAGTTGTGGTTATTTCCATTTTTTTAAAAAGATTTCATTTATGAGCCAGCGAGAGAGAGCACAAGCAGTGGGGAGGGGTAGAGGGAGACAGAGAAGCAGGCTCCTCGCTAAGCAGGGGGGCCAACGCAGGGCTCCATCCCATGACCCTGGGATTATGACCTGAGCCGAAGGCAGATGTTTAACTGACTGAGCCACTCAGACACCCCAAGTTATTTTCATCTTTGACCGTAATTTCAGCCATCTCATAGTAGGAAGTTCTAATATTCTAATTTCTGCCTCTACTAGTCTATATATTTGGTAGAAGATCAGAGTGTTATATATTGTATTATATATTGAAAAGTACATATGAAAATGTTGATTGTATTATATTTTCATTTTTAATGAGTTGAAATATTCTTGCTTGAGCAAAGAGACTATAATTATTCAGTGATATTTCATTATGGCATATTACGATGATTCAAGTTGAGATGGATAGCATTTTAATATAATACAGTTCCTAATTTTGTAATCAAGCTGTAAGTGTTTATATTATTATATGTAATATCCTTCAGCAAAGCCCAGTCTTTAGATAATTTTGTAAGTATTCAACCAAATATTAATTAGCGCTTTGATGTGCTGTCATCTTGTTAGTGGCACAGTGCTGTTAATTAGATAAACTATGGCTATTGAGTGAAATTTTATGTTTTGACTAACATTTTGAATAGTTCAGTAAACCTCAAGTAACTGGGGGGCTTTGGGAATGGAATATTTTTACTTTAGTTCAGTTTTGTTGTTAAGTAAGGGTTTGTTTGGAATTTATAAAATATGCCAAAATGTATTAGTATTTTTTATGTATTAAATTCAGTTTTCATTTGACTTAGTATCTCTCAATATATGTCAGGGTCACTGTATCGTTAGAAAAACTAATTTTCTGACTGCTCCGTTTTGGTCTTCCTAGTCTACTTCTGTATCCTCCCCCTGAGTGATCAAGTGTGCTCTGTTATCTATATAATGTTGATTTAAATCAATACGTCCGGCCCAGATTTCTCTTTCTTTCTGAGTTCCAGATCCATCTCAAAACGTCCGCTAGATTCTCCTCACATGGGTATTGCACAGGTATTTCAAACTCAAAATCAGTGTGATTGAATTAAGTCCATCTCACTCCCCAAATCTGTTCTTGCTCAATGTACCACCACCTACGCTAAAGAGCAGGGAATCTTCCTTAAATCTTTTCTCCCACAGACCCCTCACCTACCAAGATCCATCAGTTGTCATGAGTATACTATCAAAATACCTTTTGAATCCTCCCCCTTTCTACCCTACTTCCAGTCTTTGGCTCTGTTTGGAATTATTCGGTCTTTCCTGTATTATTGCAAGAGACTTTTTTTTTTTTTTTTAAATTTTATTTTTTATAAACATATATTTTTTTCCCCAGGGGTACAGGTCTGTGAATCGCCAGGTTTACACACTTCACAACACTCACCATAGCACATACCCTACCCAATGTCCATAACCCCACCCCCCCTCTCCCAACCCCCCTACCCCCAGCAACCCTCAGTTTGTTTTGTGAGATTAAGAGTCACTTATGGTTTATCTCCCTCCCAATCCCATCTTGCTTCATTTACTCTTCTCCTAACCCCTTAACCCCCCCATGTTGCATCTCCTCTCCCTCATATCAGGGAGATCATATGATAGTTGTCTTTCTCCGATTGACTTATTTTGCTAAGCATGATACCCTCTAGTTCCATCCACGTTGTCGCAAATGGCAAGATTTCATTTCTTTTGATGGCTGCATAGTATTCCATTGTGTATATATACCACATCTTTTAATAGGTGTTCATCTAGTCAGGCAAGAACTGCAGTCTCAACCAGAAGCCAGAATGCAAATTATAGTTTACTCCCACAGTCAAAACCCTTTTGAGCCCTCAAGCTAGCAGGCTCTCCTTCCTCAATAACCCTCCTCTACCTCTGTATTTCAGTCAAGTAAGAGTTCTTTAATTACCAGACCTTCCATTATACTCAGATTTTTGGACATTCTATTCCTTTGCCTCCTTCCTTTGCTTAGTTAACTTCTGTTCTTCCTTTTAATGTCTTCTTAGATGTCACTTTCTTATGTGTGCACTGAAGCACCTTAACCAGGATTTCGTGTATAACCCGGAGATACTTTAGCATACCTGAAATGTTTGAGAAGACTGCCTCAGTAGAAGCCCCTGCATTTTATTGTCTCTTATGTACTCAGAATTCCTGTACTTGGTGCTTTCCTTTCCCAAACCTGTTCTCCCACTGTTCTCCTACCCTCTCAGATTTTCCGTTGTGATCTCTGGAGCACACATCCCTAGTAAACAAACTTATCTTGATCCTTAACGTGTTATTGTCTTTACTACATTCTGTGGAGTAAGTTAAGTGTTCCCAGAAAAAGAATTTTATGGTCAAAAGGGTCAGGAAACCCTGAGTTAATAGATTCCCCATCACAATGTATATTGTGAATCTCCAGGGTGGTGGTAGTGAGTGGATACATACCGTGAATCAGTGTCCACACTTCCATCTCACATGGTGGTAACATCTTCACAGGTCGCTGCTTCCACTAACTAGTTTTAGAGGAAATTTGGCTTTGAAACAAGAAACAACAAACAAAAACTGAAACTGAGTGGAAGCTGCTCCTTTCTCCAACCTACGAATTGTAGGGTCTGGAGATGACTGGTAGCCCCTACTTCCCCAGAGCAAATTTTAGGTCACTGCTTCTTCAGCTTCATGTAGATATCCCAGCTCCTTTAGGGCTTCTTTGAAAATCTTTTGAGGAATTTTATATCCTATGAAATTCAGCTCTACCCAATATAGCGAGCTAGGTCTTTTTCTCACATATTCACTGGTAGTGTCACATATCCCTTTTTACTGGTAGTGGCTCCTTTTTGCACCATCTTGAGAAGGAATCCAAGGCTGTGTTTTGGCTCATCAGGATCACCTGTATTAGTTTATTAGTGATTATTCTTGATGGATTTAGCATTATACACCATCTTCTACCATTTGTCCCTTGTCATTTACAAATCGCTCATTTGATCTTCCAGCTTCCTTAAAGAGCTCTCCACTCCCCACCAACTCTCCAGATAATTCTAAGTGACTTCAGCATCCATATGAAAAACAGCAAATATAAGCTTCATATTTTTCTAAACCTCTGAGCTCCAGCGACCTTTATCTGTAAGTTACTTTATATACTTGCTGAGACCTCCTGAAGTTCTAAAGTCTCAATGTCTTCTGGTCTTCCTTTTCCTTCCTTTCACTATGATGGTTCTTAGCCCTTTTTGGTATCTGATATTCTTTGATACTACCGTGTTTTCCCAGCCCCTTCAATCTTCTCTTGGTATTTTTACTTTCCTGCCTCATCTGGAACTATGAGCTTATTCTCACTAGCCTATTTTATTTCTTCTTCTACCTTTATCCTTCCACTGAATCAGCCCAGCAAAACCTCAGCTTTGCACGTGTGCTCAGTTCGTGTACCTGGGGAGCTGAGCATTGCTAATGGTAATCACAGCACCCTTCCTTCTTGTGTGGCATGTAAGTCTCCCATCAGAATTTTATTACTCTTCAGTATTGTACCTTTGAAGCTTTACCTCTGCCATTCTGCTCCAATAGAGAGCAGACAAGTTTAACTTGCATGTGACTAAACTATATCTGCCTACACTTCCTGCATCATGTTTGTGAGATCCGACTTGGAGTTCTCTGCACCCTAACTTGCCTTTGTTCATACCATTCTCCCTGCTTGGACTACTGTTCTCACCCTTGTGCTTTACCCAATGACAGTCTGCGCTACAAAAACTCTTATATAACTTCAAGATTCATCTTCATGCCCACCCCACACACCCTCCCACACTATCCCCTCTTGGTAAGGGACTCAATCATTTGTATATACTTTAAACATAAATCCTGTTTTCCAGTGCTGTAAGGATTGAGAGTTGATCAATTCACTGAAAAAGTTCATTAAAGCTAGAGTTAAAAAAAAATACATGTAGACATGAAACATTTTATTTAAACTTAGAACAGAAATACATTCCTGTCGATTGTCTCATGCATGACCAAGGGATTTTCTTTGAGTATGTATACTTGAATGGAATTCATTGTTCCTTCATGAATATACTGAACGCAGAATGCATCCTCTAGATTTCTAGTTTGCATTTAAAAGAAAGAACTCAAGCTATTTATGTAGCAATGTGAGCACAGGATCCTAGATTTGTATGGTTTTTTTCCCCCACCAGTCTTTTCAGTTGCATTGTCCATACCTACTTCAATAAGAGTTTGTTTTTCTTATGGAGACTTACCTTTATAAAGTCTTTCTAAGGCATTAAATCATAAAAATAGCAGTTATTTTTCTTTTTTACTTGCATTTTATGGGTTTGGTTTGTGTAGCATTTAATTAAAGCATGTATTTATAATATACAAATGTGGTTTGTGAATATAAACTCAACTGATGGTAGCAGAGGTGCTCATGATCAGCATGTTGTAGACATCAGTATTTACCAAGGGAATGGATAGTATGTCAGTTAACTTGGCAAGTTGATTGACTGGAGGTTGGTTAAGAGAGTTTCTACTATAATGATTTTTGTTGCTTGTCTCCCTTCATTACAGTGTGAGCTCTTACAAGGCAAGGAATATATATATATATATATATATATATATTTTTTTTTTTTTTTTCATTTTGTATATCTAACCTTCACCTATGCATAGTACCTACTGTAGATATTCAGTCTGTGTTTCTTGGCTGAATGAGCAAATTCTTCTCTAAGTCATACTAAATTTGAATAATCAGAAAGAACGCTGTACTAAGAATCAGCTAGTATAGACAGATCACTGGCCTTGGAGCCAAATTGGGGTTTGAATCCTTTCTCATTTGCATTTCTTGGGCAGATTTCTTTCTCTTATTCTTTTGGGGAATGGGGGTAACAACAGTCTTTGGGTTGTGTGAGGATTAAATGGGGATGTAAAGTGTTTAACGTAGTTCTTGACATAGTAAGCAATCAACAAGTGGTAATTTTCCTGATGATGCTCATTACCAGTGAGGAAAATGTAGGAATTCAGTTGGTCTAAGTTTTTCATCAAAGGTCTTGAACTATATAATTTAACAATTTCCTTCTCGCTCTAAATTTCTCTTATTATAAACAATGGTTCATGTTTTGGACAGAGTTTTGTAAGAAAGTTGTGGCTCTTCCTTGATTTGTTACATTTGTAGATTTGATAAAGTAGGTAATTACTTAGGTGATCATAACCTTACACCTTGAAAAACAAAACTTTCAGGCTTGAGAACATCATTTGTTAGTGAATTGAACTCTCTAATAAAGTGTGAAGAACAGAAGAACAGCTCAGCTTTACTAAGCACTACCACACTATCTATGTAAGAGCTAAGTAAGGTAGAAAGTAGAGAAGGAAGCTCTGAGGAGATTGTTCAGAAGCATTAGTTTAGAAGTGAGATAAAATTAAGCTCTTGAAACGAAATTTATGGACAGATTTAACTTTTTGAATCATAGATGTGTATTTGTTAGAAATCTAGGTTTTAAGTTTTCATGTTGACCACATTTTCTTTCTGATTAAAAAATGGGGATAGGGTAAGAAGGAAGGAAACATAGTGCTTTTTTGGAATGGCTCTGAGGATATTTCCCATTCTTTGTCTCAAATTTTGGTTTGTTTAAAGAAGTAAGTGATTTAGCAGAATTCCTTTTAGCATTCATTCTACAGCTCATACTTACACTTAGTTTTTATATTACAGTTATCATTTAGTATGGAAGAAGATGACTTCTTTGGAGAAAAAACATTCCAGCACTTTTGTGCAGAATTCATTAAACATTCACAGCAGATAAATGATGGTTGGGAATGGAGAACTTCGAAGGTAAGAACAGAAACTTTTATTTTCTATTTTAATAAAGTGTTGTTTTTTTCTTTGGCTGTATAAAGCCTCAGTAATTTAAACTAATGCATGAAAGCTAGTTTGATTTAGTAAAAGGCTTAAATTGAAGATTGTTTTAAAACAGATGTCCATTTTACTGTTTCAACTATATATACTCATTATAATTGGGCTAATGAAGTATTATCTAGAAAAGTCCTTAGGTGACCTCCTTTAATTTAATAGATAAGAATGCTTAGCATATTAATTATCTGAATGTAAACAGATGCTTCTGTGGTGCTTCAAACCATTTATTTACATTATTTATTTTCTTAGGAAAGTGCTTTTGTCCAGAGAGTGGAAAGATAATCCTGAAAACCAAACCAGAGTCAAACAATCACAAAGTCTGAAATATTGAGGAATGAATTAATTGAAAATTTCTTAATGATGTAAACACATTCCAAAGCATTCTTTCTTTGGTTCTATTCAGTAATGATGATGTAAAAGGTCTATGGACTCATCTATTTCTACACATATACTTAGTATGGATTATACTTAGTAAGGTTTCTCTGTCAAAAGCTCCTCGAGATAATTTTCTGATAGGATAAATTTTCTCTACTTGATTTCTTAATCTGATACCTAAAAAAAGTGGTGATTCCCAATTTTTGTGATTATTGGCTCTGTTTGCTATATGAACTCTGAGAAATGTGAATACTTTAGGGCTGATTCCTATGATTCAGAAGTAGGCCAGGGAAATGCAGTTCTTGACCCGATCCACAGTGTCACCAGAGAGAGAAGCCATGATTTCCCTTTGGGTCATGTGCCAGCTAAGCTTTCATGGGACGGGAGTGGGGGAATATCATGAGAGACGCCAGCCCCACTCTTTAAGTTCGTGACTGGACAGTTCATAAGGCATCTCCTGCTCTGGGATAACATGATTTTATTATTAGCACCTTTTATTAATCTTTTTCCTGAGTGTTTTATAATTTTGATTGCTATTGTGTTTGAGTGTTTATTCATCTTTATTCATCTTTTATTTTCTTCATCCTGACTTTATTTATTTATTTATAATCAGAGATAGAGAGAGAGCACACAAGGAGAGGGAGTGACAGACAGAGGGAGAAACAGGCTCCCTGCTGAGCAGGGAGACTGCTGTGGCACTTGATCCCAGGACCTTAGAGTCCTAACCTGAGCTGAAGGCAGCTGCTTAACCGGCTGAGCCACCCAGGTGTCCCCATCCTGACTTTAATATCATATTTCTGATAGATGATTTCTTTAAAATTTGGCTGTTTATTCATTGGATAAATGTAGGTTTCTGATCCCATTTGATCTGTAATAATTTGTATGGTTAATCCTGAGAAACTTTTCCTTTCCTTTCCACAAATTTTTTTTTAAAAATAAATTTTAAAAAAGAAATTTTCTTGTCTTAAGCTAGAAGTAGAATAATAGATGCTCTAGCTACTATTTCAGTGACCTAGTAGAATGGGGGAGGAAAAGGTTAGGGAGGGAGATGGGACTGTGTGTGTGTGTAAGTGTATGTGCATGAGTGCATTTCCACGCACATGCACAAACACACACACACACACACACACACACACACACACGTTTGTTGGGGAATGCTGGGAAGGGTCTCCAGGAGGGAGATTCATGATAATATTATATCTGTTAGAAATGTCTTCTGTGAATTTGTTGAAACTAGTGTGCCAAGAACTAGTTTCCAGGATTTGCTTTTATTCTTGTCTGTCCTCTGTTTCAGGGGTGGGGTATGGCTGTCATTGGCTTCTTGTTCGTTGCCATTGCCTGCTCAGTTAGGAAAGTTACCTACCCTTCAGAGTTAGAATTGCACCTCTAATTAAGGGCAGGTTTTTTTTGTTGTTTGTTTGTTTTGTTGTTTGTTTTTTAATGTGGAGGTGAGCCCATAGATAGTACCAAAACAAAACAGAACACTGTTTAGAGAAAATCTTTGTAACCTTAGGTCAAGGACTACAGACTCAAAAGCCCTGGAGTCCTGGTATTTGTAACATAAATGGATCAAGCTGCCAGGTACAAGATAATCTGGACCCTGAGTCCTAAGGCCTGTGCCCAGCAGAGTGTTTGTTCTCTTGCCAGGTTGGGAATGTGACACAGAGGTTACCAGACCTTTCAAGAAAAGTAAATTTTCAGATATTGGCAACTACTTAAAAAACATTTTTCAGAAACAGAACCAAACCCAACATGCTACTGATGAATAATATGTGGGATATGTGTGGTGATTTACATTCTGTTATTGGGTATGTGTGTGGTATGACTGTGGTTTCTTGCCCAGCCCTACTTCAGTGCATGTTGCTGATCTGAATTAGTAAAGGGGGCTCTCGGCAAAGCAGATACCTCTCTTGTGAATTTTGGTAGGTTAGTATTTTTGCCACTTAATATCTGCAGTGCTGTCCCACTTTTATGAAGGAAATTCTGAATCAGTCACTTGGTTTTTTTCCTTCAGACCTTCATTCAGTCTTTATCTCAGTCTTTTGTGGGACTGTTTGGAGAGAATACTTACACTGTTGTTTTACTTTATAGACTCCAGAAATTTGTTTTTATTTTATCAAAAAAATAGTAGTCTTGAGGTAAAATTGGGAAACAATAAGCTGTGCGTAAGTGAAGCCGATGAACCCTCGTTATAGTCAAGAGGGTGATCATACCCATTACCCCCAAGAGGTTGCTTTTATACCTTTATAATGCCTCCCTCTGCCCCTGAAAGTTATCTATTATTTTTTTTCTCACAGTTATTTTTAAAAAGGATCTTATTTATCCCTTTATATAGAGCCTCCTTTAAAGAGTACTCAGACCTTCAGGTTTGTTTATAAATACCTCTCAGGAAGGTGACATACTCTTGTTGAAGGCCATTGTTTAACATAATGGTCTTTTAGATATTAAAGATATTCGTTAAGAGTATGGACTTCAGAGTTAGACATGGCTACAAATCCTTGCTCTACCATTTACAAGCTGGATTTTGGACAGACTTCTTAAAGTTTCTAAACTTCATTTTTTTTAATCTATAAAATAGGAATAAAAGTAATACCCACCATATAGTATGGTAGTTGTGTAGATTAAATGGGATTTACATTCAAAGAGGTTAGCACAGTCTCTGGCATATGGAAAGCCATATTATGGTTATGATTTTTAGCTGGTTGTTTGAAGTTTTTCAGTCTTTTATTTTAGAAATAATGCTATAAATGAAATTGTAGTTAAATTTTCAGAAAACTCTGTAAAAATCTATTTACCACCAAATATACAGTGCTGGTCTTTAGTGTATTATTCTGGGTCCTCCAGGATGAGAGGAAGAGCAAAAGATGGCAAACAACAACGAATGTATGCAATGAAGGCATTTTTTCCCCCAGATTTTATTTATTTATTTTAGAGAGAGTGAGCGGATGCGCACACACTCCTGCGTACTCGAGTCCAGGGTGGGATCGGTGGGGAGGGGCAGAGGGAGAGGGAGAAGCAGGCTTCCTGCTGAGCAGGGCACCTGACCTGGGGCTTGATCCCAGGACCCTGAGATCAGGACCTGAGCAGCCACTTAACTGACTGAGACATCCATTTCAGCCACCTCTGAAATACAATATTTAGAGAGAGAGAGAGAGAGAGAGAGAATGAACAAACACGGGGGAGAGTGGAATAGGAGAGTCTCCAAACCTAACTCACTGAATATTTTTGTTTTGAAATTATTAATCAAAAAGAAAGAAATAAGCATTTATCTTACCTTTACTGTATTATCTGTATTTCATGTTAACTAAATAGACTAATTTGATAAGGAAACTTTCCCCCCCAAAATTCCATCTGATAAATGTAGAAAGGATGGTAGAATTAGAAAATCACTACTTTTCAGTCCATAATGAAATGAATTAGGTGGCAGTAATCAGTGGATGAAATTATTAGGTGAAGGGTTAATGGGGAATTTACAAAGGAGGGATTGAGCTATCATCACCTGAACCCTAGTGATTAATCATGGCATTACTATGGCATTACTAAAAATAGTACATCCAGATATTATATACTTGCTGAAGTTTTATAATTTGAATCGCAGAGCACAATCCATGAAATATTCTTGCCCAAAATATTGAACCTGAATAGAATCAATTAAGAAAGTCAAGTGATGGAGAACCAAGTTAATTGACACCACAGGAAACAAATAGAGAATAAAGAAATCTAAAGGGCAACTGACTCAATTTCCTTAAAAAGTTAATGGTTCGGTAAAGAAGTGAGGAGAGGATTGCATCTCTAACTATCTGGTATTGAAGACCAAGCTTGTTTTGTTTTTAAAGTACCCTTTTTGGGGGGTGCTTAGGTGGCTAGGTCAGTTGAGCATCCAACTCTTTCAGCTCAGGTCATGATCTCAGGGTCATGAGATTGAATCCCATGTTGGGCACCATGCTGAGCATGGAGCCTGCTTTACATTCTCTCCTTCCCTCTCCCTCTGCTTCTGCCCCTCACACCACTCTCTAAAAAAGAAAAAAAAAAAAAAGGTATCTAAATCCTTACTTTTCCTTTCTGACTTTATCTTACCTGAATTTATCTTATTGACCTATAACAAAGAGTTTGAGCACCAGTGACAGTTTTTGGATTGACAACAATTAGTTCTTGAACTGACAACAGTTCAGACCATATTTTAAGCAGCACTACTCTAGATTAAAAGAAATTCAAGAGACATATCCTAATGTAACTTGTGAACCTTATTTGGATCCCAAGTCAAACAAATCAACTATAAAAGGACCTTTTGAAACACAATTAGGGATATTTGATTATGGAATAAAGTATAAGATGACACCAATTTAGCTTAACAAAATAAAAGACAAATCAGGGGTAGAAGAAGCAAATGTGGCAAAAATCTTGTTATGTATTGAATATGGGTGATGTGTGTATAGGTTTGAATTTGGTACTTTAGCATACTTTTTACATAGCAACACACCAGAAATATTTTGATTACTTTCTTTACAGCTTAGGAACAGCTGATCGAAAGGGCTTATTTCCTA